TGCCACATGGTCTCCACACCCTGTCTCCACTAAGATGGCTAGGGTGCTGCGCGCATAAGTACAGGGACACTTCAAATGTGCTCCAGTGTACTCAGCACATTATGGAGCAGACCAAAGGACCTTGCTAGCACACCATCCCTCAAACATCAGCATGTCACCCCCACATTCATCTCTAGCAAGCCTGGGTTTATTCCTTTCCCCCTTCAAATCTAGTTTAAATCTCTTTCAATGAGCCCTGCTAACTCCTGCGCAAAGATACTTTTCCCCCTTTAAGACAGGTGTACCTCATCTATCACCATCGTCATTGCTTGGTTCCACTTGCTGAGCCCTGTACCTGTTGTGAAAGTGCTATCAAAAATGTATAAAAATCAATTGTATGCATAAAATCAATTGTATACGTTCTGTTAAGACACCCTGTACAGTCCTAAGCTATATAGACCAGAGGTGTTCATTAACCAATGGTCTGTTCAGGGTTAAGAGCAAAGACAATATGTTATTGTTTAAGGATGTCTGCTAGATAGGATTTATTACCCCAACCTTTTGTTAAGAGTCTCTGAATCGTGACCAAAGCATAGTTTGAGCCAAAGTCCTTGACTCAAGGACACTGGAGGGTGCACCTTTTGAGTCTGGGGTCTGCGGGTGGTTGCGAAGCAGCCCTTCGACTCAATTCAAGAACCTACTGCACGTAACCGGATGAAGGGGGAAAGAGGATAATGAGTTACAGGAATTAGCATGTTTATGTATGAGAACCTGTGTTATGTATCCCATATAATCAGTAGCTATTACAGGTTAGGTGTGCATTGTTGGTGAGAGAACTCCCCTGGCACCCGGCTGTCAATAAAGAATGCCTGCTTCTTATTACTACATTGGTGATAAGAAGTTTTATTCCCAATTTTGGTGACAGAAGGACACCTGGGAAGGTGGAGTTGTCACAGAGCAGACATGCCTGCTGCACTGGGCAGGAACTTGTCACCATTCCCCCCATCCCTTAAGTCACCACATTCTGCTGGGTGAAGAGAGGATAGGGAAACCCCTACACTGTGCATCCTGTCTGCCTGACAGGCCTGTCCCAGGGAAGGTAGGGTGTGGTTCCAGTAGTCTCTCTGTCCCTCCTAGGCTCCCTGATACTTGTCAACCTACTTACCTCCTCCCGGAACTCAGTCACTACGTTGAGGCGTTCCCCTCCCTGGGCGCACCTCCCACGGCTGTGCTCACTGCTGCCGGCCGGTACTGGCCTAAGAGAAGGTCACAGCCTGCAGCCAGACACCTGGGCAGGCAAATGCACAAGATGAGATACAACTAGGCAAGACTATGAAAGCATAATAAGAAAACACTCTTTAGTGGTGACACGAAGATTAGAGAAAGACTTGATGTACTGCAAAACAAACCCTTTTTTCAGGAAAGGAAGTGTAAGAAAGAACAGCTAACTAGCATTTAGAAAACCAGCTTTTAGAAAACTAGCTTTTAGAAAAGAACTGCTGACCAGCCTTTAGAGATAGGGAGGAAGGCCAATTTGTACTAACCGTTATGCATATATCCATTGTGGACTAACTAATACTTTAAAGACAAGAATGAAGCAGAATCCGCCAAGCGAAGGACACCAGGTGGGATCCTCCAATCAGACTGTGGGGCTCAAGGAACACAAAAGACTAAGCAGGAGAGACAGGGAAGGCAGCTAGCAAGAGCTGGTTCTGTGAATTGGAAAAGACCCAGGATGGTACAGGGCATGTGCCACAGGACAAGTTCAAAAGTTCAACCCTGAGGAAGACTCAGACCTTCATTCCACACGACCACGGACCCCAGCAGGGGGCGTAAATTGGGCGGACTGAGGCGGGACTATGGGAGGAACTTATGTTAATGAATTCCTGGAAATAATTAGAATAACCCAACCTTTTCTTAGAAATGTAATGAATAAACAGGAAAGCTGTAAATATAAGGCAAGAATCCTAACGCTTGGGCGCCCACGTATGGAAGGAGCTATCCCCCGTGCTGCCCGGTGCCACAATAAAGAATACCTGCTTAATAACACTTGGTTGTTATTGAGTTTTCTCAGATTCAGAAGGATGCTTTCATCATTAGTTTTAAATGACATCTTGGGTAAAGATACCCAGAAACAAACTGGGGGTAGTCTATCCTGGCTTTAAGATAGGTACCCCCGCAGCTTTATTAATATAACCACTTTATTAAACAGAGCTGCACTCACCCCCCTCATTCCATTAGAGAAAACACAAGTGGAGGCATGTGATATGAAGATTAGAGAAAGACTTGGTGTACTGCAAAACAAATGAAGTTGCTAAGAGCAAGGAGGTCCTAATGTCTTGTTAATGTCTTTCCCCTCTCCTGCCCCGCCTTTCTTTCTTAAAAGTCTTTACTGGAAAAGGTTGATGGTGGTGAGGCTCTTGGCACAGCTAATACCTGTAACATAAAGATAAAAGTCAGACTAGAGCCAGGAGAGAATGGCTATGGATAAAGTTTCATGAGGTAGGTGACCTGATGTAACGGCTTGTTGTTGCCAAAAGGAGAGATCCCACATGCTTTGCCATGTGCAGACACAAACATCCATATTGTTAGCCACTCAGTCTATTCTTTTGTGCTGGCTCCAGCATTTGTCTGACCATGTGCTGAACCAGTTCAGCTTGCTAAATGGGTGAAAAGCAAATCCAGGAACAGTTATAAGAAGCAGCGACTGTTTTTCCGTCAGTAGTTCACAAGAAGAATGTGGAGAACACATAGGAAAACACACAGTAATTCTGTGGTAGAAAACACTAAGGCAGCCTTCCCTGATCTGGTCTATCCTCCTACAGGCACTGTCAATAAAGAAGGGTGAGAGCTAAGTAACAGTTCTGAGATGGGCAATGGACATTAATAAAATCACAGAAAACATGGCTAACAGAAAGAACTCTGGGACTTGAGATCATTTATTCCAAAAAAGACTGACAAGAAAAATGACAATAGTCTTTATTCACGGAAGCAGCACACAACAAAGCAAAAGGAATTAAAAAGAAAAGAAGCTGGCTATGAAGACTCTCCCTAGAGGAAGGTATCAGTCTGAGGCATTGGTCTGCAGAGAAGGTTAAGAACGAAAGCAGAAGAATCTCTCACAGGATTAGGACATTAGAGAGATACAATATGGGAAAATATGACGTGAAGAAAGGACAAAAATAGAAGAGAACAGAAGTGATGAAATATAGCTGACTCTCGGGAGGAAAAGGAGAGGTCCTCTGAGAATAATTTTTACTTAGTTTTTTCAGCCTGAAAGCACTGCTGGCTTTAATTTCTAGAACAAACAATTTATTAAAAAAATCTTTATTTACTGATACAGTAGTTTATTCTGGTTGCAAACCGCAGCACTCTGATATGCAATAAACTCATGAAAGTCACCAGAAGAAAACACTATTTCCAGGAATCACACCAAGAGAAACCAATTTGCAAATACAAAAAGCTGCCAGGTAAATTGTACATTTTTGACATCTGTGATCATGTTTCCTCCCTAGCCAAAATTACTCACTTTTCAGACGTCTGCTCTAGGTCTTCTTCAAAAAGTGCCTACAAGCTGGTTTGAAGTTGTCAGTGACAGAAATTTAAGAACTCAGACTGTAAGTGTAGAGAGCTGTCATGCCAAATGCAGTGTTACACAACAGAAGACGGAACCACAAAAAGCAGCAGCCAGAACTGAACTCAGGCAGATCCAACTCAGAAATAAGAAAACACATTTAACAGTGTTTCAGAGACAGAATAAACTCCTGCGAACGGAAAGGGATTCTGCCTCTCCTGATCTTTGCAAATCCGTATCTTTCCAGAATATGTGTGTGTTACTAAAACACAAGAATTTTATGTCAGCAAAAAGTTTTTGCTAGGCTATCTAATAACAAAAGACTGTAAACGTAAAAATGATTTATTTTGCCTCACCGCCAAGGCATACATACAATGGGACACTAATTCTGGTATTTTTGCCTGATTATTACTTCATACAGAACGCAGAATACCTTAAAAAATGATCTAAGCACGACAAAGCTGCATTTTGATGGAACTAGATCCAGCTTGTCGTGCCCTGCCACTCATCAGTGCGGGAAAAAACAATGACACTTGGCTGGTTTAATAGCCAGGGTGTCCTTAAAGTAGTTGTCGTATTGTTTGTAGCTGACGTAGTGTCTGCCGACTGGCAACGCACAGTGCTTGGGACAGCTGCAACGCCCTGTTTACGTCCGCGAGCTTTTCCACCACCTTTTCTTGCGCCGATACCCCGCCCGGTGCGCGCCCCACAGTGCGGGAAAAAACAATGAAACTTGGCTGGTTTAATAGCCAGGGTGTCCTTAAAGTAGTTGTCGTATTGTTTGTAGCTGACGTAGTGTCTGCCGACTGGCAACGCACAGTGCTTGGGACAGCTGCAACGCCCTGTTTACGTCCGCGAGCTTTTCCACCACCTTTTCTTGCGCCGATACCCCGCCCGGTGCGCGCCCCACAGCGCCTACCCGCCCCCCACCGCCGCCGACCCGCTCGCGGACCCCGCGCACAACTTCCGGCCCGCGTCAGAGCACATGCTGCAGCTGCGGAGCGGCACCTCCGGCCTTTCCTGAAACGCCTCGTTTCCAACCCAGGAAACAGACAGACGACGCAGCGCAGCCACCCGTAGCGCTGAGGGGAGCCGCTCGTCCCAGCCCCCTGCACCGCCGGCAGGGGGAGGGGCCGCGGAGCTCCGCGCCGGAAGTGGCGCGCTGTGCGGCGGCGGGGGGCCGCCGGTGCTAGG